TTCAAAAAGGAAAAACAATCAACAGCAAGTATTATGCAAACTTATTGCAGCACTTGAGTGATGAAATCAAGAAAAAACAGCCGCATTTGGTAAAAAAGAAAGTGTTGTTTCATCAAGACAATGCACCAGATTACAGATTCTTTTAATGAAACATAGAAAAAATTAGTACATACTTGGCACCATTTACACACAGCCAAGTGAATCCAGAAACAAAGAAAGTGAATACAGTGAATAAATATAATTGAAATATTATATAGAAAAAAATAAAATTAAGATTAACAAATAAGAAATGATAAAACATTTACAAATTACAAGAATAATATAAAACAATACACACAAAAAAAAAACCTCGCGACATTGTAGTAGCCCACCCAAAGATACACCATGCGACAGGAGGTTCTGAGAAGCCTCAAAAAGTTTTTGTCCCTGAATTCTGTCGCCTCTTCACCACATCTTTCATGTTCTTTTTTTTTTTTTTTTTTTTTACAAAACTCATCATTTTGAGTTTTGTGCATGGACTTCTGGCATAAATTATACATCTCTGTTATATATAAATATATATTTGCATAATTTACAATTAAACATGTAAATTTTTATATTCTTCTAAATAGCAGCTTAAAAATAAAATGCATTTGAATTTAATATTTAAAAATATTTATTTTATTTTACATTTATTAGAAACAATATAATGAAGGACATATATTTTATGTCCTTAAAATGTAAATGTTATTTTGTTAAATTTCTTGGTAAACCTTAGTATTAATTCATGGAAATAATAATAATATATTCATTATATGATATAAACATTTTCTAACATTTTTGTGAAATATATTTTAATTTTTTTCGAGTAAATGAGAGAAAATATTATACGCCCAATTCTGTTTTTGCTTAGTAGATACAACCCCAAAAAATCTATGTAAAATAAGATACTGTCCTTATGGAGAACTGGAAGATTGGTTCCAGACCTTAAAAACCACTAAAAATAATATGATAAACCAGTTTGATATAATAAACCGTGAATTAAATTTTTTTGGATTGCTTCATGTGGTATTCCAAATATTGAGCTTTCAAAATTTTTAGTTAAATGTATAAATAAAAACAAATTTAACATTGAATGAATGAAAAATTTAATAGTTTATTCTACAAAAGATTCAACTTAACAGTCATTTGAAATTATATCAATTGAGAACATACTTTACAAAAAAGAGAGATTTATAGAAGGTAAGAGCTTTCTCATGCTTTCTTCCTTCTAAAAAGGGAAGAAAAGAAATTATTATAATGATTTTGAGACCTTCTATAAAAAAGAGGGAAATCTAAAAAATGGGAATACAATTAAAATTCAAACAAGTGATCACATCGTCAATGGGCTATTGGTTAGAGTATTAATTGGATAATTTATTGGTTATTTTCATTGATGAATTATTACTCAATTACACCAACTAAATCTCAAGGAATATATATATATATATATAACCAGTTAGAGACTTAGATTAAAGAGAAAGGGGAATGTGAACAAATTACAGATTATAAGTTATAAAGATCTTTAACTATACAATGAAACCTCACATTCAAGCAAGGTGTACAAATAGCCAAATCTTAAAATTTACTTGAGCCTTAAATTTAAATATTCTAAGAATATTTTTTATTGGAATAAAAATTAAATGGAAAGTTTTTAAAAAAAAATAAATTTATTAAACTGTTTTAGATCAAAGCAAATTGTATAAAAAGGTAATTAAAATTTTTTCTACTGTGTTAAATCAAAATTGTGTAAAAATAGACATAGGTATACATCACCAAACGATCGCCTAAATATCGGGCTATAATACGGCTAATTAAATGATTGGAATAAAGTAATTTGACACTAGAGGTAGACGTTAGGCGCCATCTCTTAAGTAAATTAATAATTAAATAAATAAATCAATAAATAAATTTAGAATCTTCTGGAATAAAAGAACTGGCCCGGGGCGGGACTCGAACCCGCAGCCTCCGCTTGCCGTGCGGCGCGCTTACCAGTTACGCTACCCAGACCCTCGAGCTAGTCTTCGCTTCCAGAAGTATATTAGATTTAGATATAACCTTACTTGGTTAAATACATCACTGACTGGGGACGACTCCTTCGCCCACGGCCATAGCGGCACTCAGCCAGCTAACGCAACACCCGGCGAGGTATATATATATATA